CCTAAGAATGCCCGAAGATCTTTCAAGGTAGTTGGCTGAGGGTATTCACGAATAGCAGCTAGTTTGTCAGGGTCTGGAGCGATGCCCTGTGGAGTGACGATATGGCAAAGATACTGTACTTTATTATGACCAAAGAAGCATTTTGACGGAGACAGTTTCAGGTTTGCAGTCCGCAATCTTTCTAAAACCTCTCTGATATGAGTTATGTGTTGAGCAAAGTCTTTTGAGTAGATGATGACGTCATCTAAATAGATAAGGCATGATTTCCATGTCAAGCCTTTCAATACTGTTTCCATCACTCTCTGAAATAAGGCAGGAGAGTTCTTGAGCCCCATAGGAAGCCTTCGAAACTGAAAAGTCCAAGATGACATTTAAAGGCAGTATACTCTTTCGAGTCAGGGTCGATCATGAGCTGGTAAAACCCACTTTGTAAGTCTAAGGTGGTAAAGAACTTGGGTTGTGCATGACCAAGACTTTCAAGGCACTCATCGGTGGTTGGCAAAGGATGGGCTGATAGCTCTGTGACAGAGTTCAAATTCCTGTAGTCGACAACAAATCTGTATTGGTTCTTCTGTTTCTTTGTTACAAGAAAACATGGACTTGCCCAAGGACTCACTGAATCTTCAATAATTTCTTGATCCTTTAAATCATTGATGCATGTTTCAAGTGCAGGTTTTTGTTGAGGGCCTAATCTGTATGATCGTGATCTAATTGGAGCTTGCTCCTGCTTCACTCTAATTTTATGGGTAATAATGTCACATGATCCAACTTTACCATGAAGAGCAAACACATCTGAGTATTCATCAATCAAAGATGTGAGGTCCTGTCTTTGATATTCAGTTATCTCACTGTTGTCTGGAGGAAGATTGACGAACTGAGAAGCTTTATCTGAACCTTTATCACGATGAGAGATAGGTATAGTTTCATTCGCAACTCTGTTTACACTAAACGTTTGTTCATCCGCACCTTCTTCTCCAAGGTAGTACAAACTGTCATCCCTGCTGAGACACACAAACTTTCCTACATAAGTTCCCTTTGAAATTACAACTGGTTCATCAGACAAGTTCACTAGGCGCTGATATACATGATTGTCATGTACATGACATAACACCTTGGCACATAAAACACCTTCAGCATAAGCACAATTTCCAGTCTCACTAATGCCTAACACAGTGTTGGGAAGAGGGTTACCTTAAAGCTTCGCAAGAATAACTATCTCTGAGCGTGGAGGGATAGTTACATTTTCTGCTGCAACAGTCTGTCTCCTAGGGTCTATAGACAGTGTATTGTTGCTAAAATCAAGCAGTGCGTTGTGACTTGACAGAAAGTTCAGACCTAAAATAAATTCTGTGTTCAAACCTTGAGCAAGGTAAAACTTTACATTTAATGGTGTCTGGCCAAATCTCACCTGCAAAGTAACAGTCCCTTGAATTTCTACCTTTTCATCACTTGCAGTAATTATATATGTTTTGTCAGATTTCTGAATTGGTGCAAAATGAAATAATTTGTTGGCAATGGTTTCATATTTTGCTACACAAAAATCTGCACCAGTGTCAAGGAGGGCAAAGTGTTTGTTCTGACCTATGGAAATTGGGACAAAGTTCTTTAAGACAGGTAAAGAAGTCGTTGATAGCCTAATGGTATCATTGTTTTCACCGAGTCCACCTAGAGCCCCATCGTTCTGGGTGGACTTTGTTAGTTTTCCTGATTAGTAGTGCATTGACTTGCAAAATGACCATTCTGTTGGCAACGACGACAAACTACTTTCGCCATTGTTTTTTTCATGTACTTGGGGCAATTTCTCGCTGTGTGGCCAAGTTTTTGCGATAGATTCGGCTGCTATTCGAGCCGATTGGATGGCTGCTTGACATGTTGTGGGTTGTTGTTGAATTACAAATGTTCGTAAATGAGGCAAGAGGCCTCTCACAAAGATACGCATCTTTTACCCTCAGCCAACTTCCTTGCTAACTTTTGATTTGAGCGGGAATGCAAAAGCTAAAATTTGTTGACAACAATAAACAATTTTAGTGCCAACAAGTTTAGTTAATTATTATGTTAAATGTGTACGTAAAAAATGCTTCATATTAACATGATAACAATATTTATTATCCCTGTTAAACAATCGCTTAAGATTTAAATTCTTCTGATAATGAAATAGAAATTCTTTGTAGTTTTCATATCGTTTTTAACTGAATCACCGGTAGACTGGATAAAAACATGTGTACACAGCTGATTTTAACAATAAATGTATACCTTTAAAACCACCAATGGGTGGGAATCAACATGATGGGTGGGCACGTAATCCCTCAGTTCTTCTTAGTTTGGTGGAATAATAGTCAATCATCACCTTACAGGTAAGTCTCGCTTAACTGTAAATTCCACCAACCTAATCAGAACCTCAGAATTCCGTGCGATGTTTAGAGTAAGGTGTACATTTATTCATTATTCAAAACAGCCAATCCCATTGAAATAACAATGGTTTACATAGCCATAAAAATGCAAAACAACTTCAATACAAGAATGTAAAGCTAGGTTATACAAGAAGCTTTAAGAATGCTTTCTCCAAAGTCACCAGGAGTTCCCATAATGGGTTTCTTATAATACTTTCTAAAAGTACAGTCACTTTGCCAGCCGGCTGTGGTGAGTATTGTTCTGAGCGGTACTTCTGCTGCTGCGGCTGCGCTAGTAGAAGCTGAACGGATACTGTGCGGCTTAAATACAGCAGTATCCACACCTGCTTGAGTTAAAGTTGTCTTAACCCAACGAGCTATTGTGTCCTTACTCACACGTTTGTGAGGTTTTTGGGTGGAAATGAACAAGGCTGTTTCATCTCCTCTTAAATCAAAAGCTCTTTCCAGATATTGTTGTATGGAATGGACAACACACAGTCTCTTGTCTGGATAAGATGTCAAAGTTATCTCCCCTAAGTGATAAGCTGGTCTACTCTGTTTTAAGAGGTCTCCAAATCTAATAACTATCTCACTGTCTTTCACTTCAACATTTCTACAATCTAACAAATGAACTGACTGCAGTCTTTGTCCTGATAATAACAAAATCAATGTGACACTGAAAACTGTCAAGCGCAGTATCTGCCAGAGGGGGTGGACTTTCTCTGGGAGATTATTTAGTAGCAGCAGCCTGTTTGATTTCGGTGGAAGTCTGGGATAGTCGATTGAGAGTTCTAAGAGGAGGCTGAACCATGGTTGGGTGGTCCAGAGTGGAGGCGATCACTATTGCATCGGCTTCGGTCCTGGATACTTTTTGAAGCATTCTTCCCATCAAACTGAAAGGACAGAATATGTTATTAAGTTCACTCTGCCATGCCAGGGAAAAGGCATCAACAGCATAAGCATCTGGGTCAGGATGCCATGACACAAATTTGTCTAGTTTCTTGTTGATGCTAGAAGCAAACAGGTCTCTAGTTGGTACTGAACCAAACACTTTACAAACAGATGAGAACACTGTAGAGTCTAATTCCCACTCAGCATCTTCCGAGAAATTTTGAGATTGCCAATCAGCCTCAGTGTTTAATACCCCAGGTATGTGGGCAAATATCCAGATATTGTGTTCTATACACCACAACCACAAGTTCCGTGTGACACTGTTACATATGCGGCTTTGTTACACCCATGTTGTTAATATATGCTACCGCTGTAGCATTGTCACTGAGAAGTCTAATGTGGGTGTTGAATTTATCTGCACAGAGAGCTTTAAGTGAAAACCACAGGGCCAGGATTTTGAGATAGTTTATATGATGAGCCACTTCTGTCTCAGACCACCTTCCCCGGTTTCAAGATCACCACAAACACCACCCCAACCTAGATTTGAGGCATCAGCTTCACTGTAACTTCTGGCTGTTTTTTCTATCTAGGAGGTGGGAAAATTCATGTTTGTTTTGTATCCACCAATCTAAATCCTGTCTACTTTCCAATGAAAGAGACATGAGTGCATGAGTGCAAATTTACCCTTAGAGTTTTCAGTTCTGAATTTCTCTGAATTTCCAGTCTCTTGAAATGGAGTGGAGCATACTGCACACCATGCGCACTTGCATTTAACTGTCCAATCAAAGCACAAAGTTCACGTATTGTGATAAATTGCTGATCTAAACCTGCTTTACAGTGTGCAATGATCTTATCACTATTATCCTCTGTAAGTTTCACAGTCATTGTTTCACTATTAATGTGGAAACCTAAATAGGAAATTTCCTTTGTTGGGTTGAAGACAGACTTGTCAGGATGGATAGTGAAACCTAACGAATCAAGCAAATGCACAGTGTTTTCCACATTGCTCTTACATAACTGTTCATCTTTGCCAACTAACAAGGAGTCATCAGTATATGCCGTGTTGGCATAGCCAAGTTTTCTTAAGTGAGAGAACACTGGTTTTAAGATCTTGGTATACATGTGAGGTGCTGAACTTAGTCCGTTGGGCAAGCATGTATACTGGTATAGTTCATTGTCCCACAAAAAACGGAGATACTTCCTATCGGAACACTTTACAGGCATAGTGTAGTAAAGCATCCTTCAAATCCACAGATCCAAAATACCAATTTCTCTGAACTAAATACAGGGCTGATTTCAAAGTCTCCATTTTGAAATGATGAGTGTCAACATTTTTGTTTAGATGTTTCAGGTTTAGTATAATCCGAACTGAACCATTTTTCTTTTCCCTCATGAAGATATTAGAAATGTACTTCCCTTGTGAGTGCTCACATTTTTCAATAACTCCTGTCCGATACATGTGGTGTAACTCACTATTGATTTGTTCAAGTTCCTGGGTATTAAAGGGAATTGGCTTTGGGATAAAAGTTTGATGTGGTAAGGCAGTGAACTCTATATTTGCTCCCATAATGGATGAAATTACCCACTTGTCTGATTTTATAGTTTTCCAAACATTAGAAAATTGAGCAATTTTTCCTGCTACAAAGTTATCTTTGGTGTGAATAAAATCATACTCATTGTTTAATTGTTTCACCTGTATGTCCATGTGGGATACGTCGTCTACTGGAGCTTCCTCTCCCCCTCCCTCTTCTGTAAAAAAAGGGATCTTGAACTTGTTCTGTTGTTGAGGCGTGGTGTTACGACCTCTGTGGGTGTGGAACCTGTGTCCGCCACGAGTATTGTTGACTGAGTAGCCCTGATTAAATTGTCTGTTATGGTACGGCCAATATCTGTCAGAGAATTTCTTCTGAGATTTTCACCCATCTTCTTGCTGAGTTGTTTGCTGTCAGAAATTTCTTTTATTTTCTTGCCCAGGTCATCTCCGAACAACCACTTACTGGTAGTGATTTTTGTTGAGCAGAGACGTTTGTAAGGCCCACTCAGATCAGGCTTGAATCCATCTCTCCGCCTTTTGTTCAGTTCACTTATGGCCCCTGACATGAGTCTGATTGTGTCCATTGACTTGACCAACAAGTCCTTAATGTTCACACTAGTATTTCCCATGGCGCTGACATCAAGCTGTCTGTGGTCTGAGCGACTGGGATTAAGCGCTTTCCTAATGAGGGCTTGTGTATGTTGGTGTTTCAAGTCAGCGGGATCGAGTGTATGTTTTAGCCGTCCATACCTCTTCCTTGACAGCAGGCACGATCAGTGCTTCACAGTTTCTTGGCCGCTTGTACTTATCCATAATAACTTTGAGTTTTTTCATGTTGACATTGTTTCTGATACCATCACTCACAGTTGAAGCAAGCTCGCTCCTAACATCTGTCGATGTTTCCTTGGAATCTTCGAAGAAACTTTTGAGTTCTGACACTAAGTTGGCCACATCACTCTCATCATAATTGTCTTTATCACCAGACTTTGAAAAAATCCCTTCGAGTTCATCATATTCGTTTTCCGAAACATCAACTTCCCCTTCGCTACAACTGTCATGGCTGTCCACAACATCCGTTTCATTCGGATTACTCCGGCTGTGTCTGGATGTACTCGGTCTCGGCTGCGAATCTGACATTTCACAACCCGCACGGGGCCCCAGCTTGGCAATTAGCCGGTCAGTCTGCTGTTGCTGCGAGTTTATCATCGCCTGCATCATAGCCTCTAGCGTGGCTAAAGGCACTGGAACGTGACTCTCGCTGACCGGACAAGATGGAGTCGGGCTTTGTTCACTTGACTCACTTGTGAAGTTCGGTCTTGAACCGATCGTCAAAGATTTCATCTCCGGATGGATCTGTCGACTTGATCGACAGTTTTTCGACCACTTCAAATGACGATGGTCTTTCCCTGCCAACTGTTTTGGGCTTTTCAACTGGGAAAGCGCTGTGCCCTTTTCTCCCATTTTCCTTCGCCTTTGATGCCATGATGGTCAAACTTGGACCATGGACTGTGTCCGTCACTCGGTCCGAAAAATCTAAGTCTCTGAAGGCTGTGCCCCCTTTTAGACTGCACTAAACGATTTCAGGAAGTTTCTTCAGGTTGTCACTGCTTCGAAAGTTGTAAAATCTTCAAATTTCCAAAACTTGTCCAACTTTTCCTTACTTCATTAATTAATTAAGCTGACCATACTTCTAAGCACAAGCGCCAAAAACTGGACCTCTCGCATGCGCACCTCTCACGGAATTCTGAGGTTCTGATTAGGTTGGTGGAATTGAAATTTTCCTGTTATCATTTACAAAGTTTGTTTGTTCACCCTTGGCGATACATCATATAGTTTTGAGTGGGCACAATACACAGTAAGATTTCCGCTTGTATCCTCCTTAAATTTTAACGATCACGGAAAACTTTCTTTTGAGTGGTATTTTAGAACTTGGATATGTTTTCGGTATGTTTAGATACAACTAATAAAACCTGTTAAAACTCATCATTATCGGATGAGGAATATATATCCAGGTGATATGATTTGACTAGAATTAAATTTAAGGGGATACAGGCGGAAGTCTTTCCCAACTTCTAAATGCCCATCAAGTATCTCAATGAATTGGATGACAAAATATTTCTGTTGTAGTAATCATAAAAGAAATCTCTTTGAAATCCTTGAAAGCATTTGTTTTACACTGTCGATTCCTGAAACTTATTATCTTTAACATTGTGTTTCTTCATTATAAAGGGGCGGTGAGGTAGCCTAGTGGTTAAAGCGTTAAAGCTCGTGCGCCTGGGTTCGATTCCCAGCGTGGGTACAATGTGTGATGTCCATTTCTTGTGTCACCCGCCATGATATTGCTGGAATATTGTTCAAAATCGATTGTAAAACCCAACTCACTCTCTCTTTCAATATAATGATCATTTAAGAAATTGAATTAAATAAGTACCTTTTAAGTTTCTTGTATCAAATTCATCCAAATCATTTACTTATGCCGGTATCTGTAACTGGGATACTACGGTTATATTGTTTTACAGACTAAAAATGATATGCAGCAGGGTTTGGGTGATCATGGCACAGGTTTTTTTGGCACTTCTTTGAGAAGCATTTAGAAGTTGTAGCAGTAAGGAAGGATGACAATACATGGATGAACAACTTCTTTTTTATTGCAGTGAAGGTGATATTTGGTTCGTTTTGGCTTGAAAATAGTGTTAGAAAGGTCACACTCACTGCAATAAAAAAGAAGTTGTTCATCCGCCTTTTTTCCATAGGTTTTGGCACACTAAGAGATCGGTCATTTTGTATGGTTTTCTTTCTTGGTTTGATTCCATGAGGATCTGGATAACACAACAAACATTGTATCAATACACAATGCCTTTTAGAAAGTGGTCAAATGTAATATATGTTATATTTGGGATCACACTATCTCAGAAAAGTACCGATTCAAGTACTTTTCTTTGCGTTGAGCCCCATCTGGGATTGACGCATAAACTCTCAGAGTCAGGCACCTAATCACCAGCACACAAAGTTGTGGAAGGTGTGGTGGCTGAAGCGGG